TTATGATTACTACATATGAATTTTTGTATTTTTCTATATCAACCAAAAATATACTAACATAGACAAAATAATATATAAATATATTGTTTTACAATTCAAAATAATTTCAACTATAAAACACTTTTTAATAATATATTATTCTTTCTATTCAATTTTATTATATTTATTTACTATTACTACGTATGAGTTTTTGTATATTTATGCTTATCGTACAGGTACCAATACCTCGCTACATGCAGCGCGTCCGCACTTTACTTTTCCTGCACTCAAAAAACAACGCTGCACAAAGAAAAGAAGAGCTTTACTCAAATTGACTAAGTCTTCTGTTTCTCTACTAATCCTCTCTCCACGGCAGGTGAGTTCTGTTTCCGGCACGATTTGGTAAGTTTATGCGGGGCAGTCACCGGATTCACTCGAAGTAGCTATTTCTGCCGTTCTTTTCGCTTCACTTATTGCTTTGCTTGTGTTCTTCAGCAATGTTTGATTCTTTAAGTTGATCAGCACTGTTGCTCCTGTGTTGTGCTTGCTTATGAATTTCAAACTTGCAAGTTTTTGCCATAACAACTGATTATGAATTATGCATTCATAATTATCTTGCTGAGGTTGGTCGACTTTGTAGTTTCATCATGTACATGCAACAGGTGATATAGTCACTCTCTGCTGGAGTGGAGTTATCTGTTTATTATATTTGACACTCAATAATCCAAAGCTACTAGTAGTCATCCTGATATCAAGTAGGTTCTATCTCAATCTAAAGTAGATGAGCCCACGGACCAAATAGTATCTCTTTTTGCAAAATCCTGGCTTAAAAATCAGTCAGCTTCTCATGTCATAAAATCTTGGAAAATCTTGCTATCAAGAGAAATATCTACCTTGCTGATTTCAAGTCTACTTCATCTTCGATTCTCTATGATTTTGGTAAATAATTTCAAGTTGGTTTTTGGTTCACTATCTAATATCAGATCTTCCAACTATTGTTCCAGGTGATGATGATGACAGAACAGGAAGAGAAACAACACCAAAAGGAGGAATACCTTTGTACTACAATAAAGGTTGGCTCTTAGAAGCACCGATTGAGCAATAGGTTTCAAGCAATTTTATTATCCACTTGTACCGTTCTAGGTTGCACGAGATGAAGATCTTGGAGAACAGATTGGGAGGGACATATATTTTGATCTTGTGGATCATGAAAAAGTCAGGAGTTTCCGTGTTCAAAAGCAGACACCTTTCAATGTTTTTAAGGTTTGACCAAAACAATTGCGTGGTTGCATAGTTGCATGTTAATTGGCAATAACTATGATAGTGCTTTGAGATTTTGTTGGCTTTCTTTCTACCTTCCCCTGGTTTCAAATGACTATTTCATGTTAGACTTTCTTAGCTGATTGTTACTTACTCGTATTCATAGCATCTTCTAGAGTCTGCACTTTGTTGATCATTTATTATGGTGTTTGCACGCAGGAGGAGGTTTCAAAAGTGCTTGGAATACCTGTGCAATTTCAACGTTTTTGGCTGTGGGCTAAGCGCCAAAACCATACATATCGTCCAGACCGACCATTGACAAAACTTGAGGAAACAAAATCTGTAAATACATTTTGCTTAACTTCATTATTTGCCAAGGCTTGCACTTTTTCTTTTTATTCTTTTCTCAAATTCAGTGGTGTTTGGCTTGGTTTTTGAATTTAACTGGCCAACTTTATACAAGTTCCAGAGTCTCTGGCTCTTTGCTTTATTGGACCATTTTCCCTTTCTCCATCCTTTATTATTATTATTATTATTTTTTCTGATCAGCCCTTTCTCCTTTCTTTTAACATTAGATTCAAAGATTTTGTGATCATATTTTCTACCTAGGAGATGGTTTCCTTTTTTTTTTCCTAATGGAACATTTGATAATTTTGTGGACTATTTTCATTGTATTTATTTAATACTAATGTTTCCTGCCATTCTTGTTGGTAGGCAGTATTTAGGTGTTAAATGGTTCTTAAAGTTAATCTAAGACTATTTTTTATCACCTTCCATTTAAGTACTGTTTTTGCTTCTTCTTCTTCTTCTTTTTTTATATATTCTTTTAATTGATATACATGTCATAAGTTTATTCAAAGACAGCTACTTCATTGCCTAATCATGGAAAATGAACTCATATATTCCTACTCTAGGTTGGAATGCTAAGGGAGTTTTCACAGCCAGTTCAAAATGCAGAACTGAAATTGTTCCTGGAAGTAGAGCTTGGACTGGTAATTTTGCTTTCCTTATTCAGTCAACATTTTTCCTTCACACACATTAATTTCCTCTCAAATGCTGTTAGTGCTTACAAGCATTGTCTTTCAGCATTTACGCCCAATTGTTCCACCAGATAAGACTGGGATAGATATTTTGCTTTTCTTCAAGCATTATGATCCCGAGAAAGAAGAGCTACGGTTAAACTTCTCTGTTTTGTGTGTTTTTTCTGTATATTTCTATGGCAAGATACATGATGCTTACTCTAGATTATCTCTCTGTTATATCAGTTATGTTGGAAGGCTTTTTGTGAAACGTACTGGAAAGCCAACAGAAATCTTATCAAGATTAAATGAAATGGCAGGCTATGATCCAGATGAAGAGATTGATCTTTATGAGGTTAGTGACAGTCATATTTTTGTTTTAGTGATGTTTCTTTTTATTTTTATGTGCTTAATTGACACTCATTAGTCATGTTCATTTGGGAAAAGTATGTAAACTAGAGAATTAACCTTGTAGAGAGGTAGATATGTCCATGAGCTCTTGATTAGTGATTAGGATGGATGTAGGATGAAATGAGGGGGGATAGCATTGTTTGCAGGGCCAAGAGTCTTTTGAAGGGGAGAAAGTTGATTTTAACACTTGGCACAAAGTTCTTTTCCCTTTTTCTTGGAGCCAACTGAATTCCAAGATATCATATTTTTGCGCATTGCTGCAGTTTTCTTTGACATTAATCTCAATTTAAATATTAGCTTATTTATGCAACTGCAAGAGTCAGGTTGTTGCCACTTTCATCCTCTTGCTCTCCCTGCTGTTTGCCCGTTCTGTCCAATTTGGTTACTTTTGCAATGGAGTGGCTTTCATCAGTTGACCTTGGACATTTGATATTAACCTGAGAGAAACTTTAAGAAAGAATGTTCATTCCTCTTTTTAATTTCCTAGAACATTGTGACTCTTCAAATATGGTTGTGGGATTTTGATTGTCTGTTCTAAGGGTTGCAGAGCTTGGGGATTTTTTTCTGGCTGGATTAACATATGCTGCAGACTGTATAATATGATGTTTTGTAATTCTGCTTTGTTGTTCAGGAAATTAAGTTTGAGCCCACTGTCATGTGTGCGCCAATTGACAAGATATACACATTTGGAACTAGTGAGGTAAACATTATATATCCTTCATGTGTGTTTAACTTATAATGATGTATCTTGGTGATCTAAATGGTCTTTTGTCTTGACCACAGTTAGGAGATGGTGACATAATTTGCTTTCAAAAATCCCTTCCTGTTGAAAGTGCTGAACAATTCCGCTATCCAGATGTGCCTTCATTTTTAGACAGTGTGCATAATCGCGCAGTATGCACTCTCAATCCTTTTATATGTGTACAATTTCCCTCGATATAGCCCCTCTCAATACTAACGATTGTTATATTAGCTAAGAAAATTAATGATTAGATTCTTCAACAATATGGTTTACCATTATATCATGAAATGATCTTTGCATTGTTGTATGTATGGTAGGTTGTACACTTTCGGGCACTGGAAAAACCAAAGGAAGATGAATTTTGTGTGGAGATGTAAGTTGAAGATATAAGGATTACCATTGTTGGTTTCTGTCTTTGATATCCTTTTTCACTAGAAGTTTATGCTAAATGAAAATCTGGATTGTATTTGCCTTATGAATGTTAAGGTCAATGCTTGATACTTATGAGAACGTTGTTGAAAAAGTAGCTCAGCAACTTGGTTTGGATGATCCATCCAAAATCAGGCTAACAGCTCACAACTGTTACTCTCAGCTACCCAAGCCTCGGCCTATTAAGTATCATGGTGTGAATAGTTTATCTGATATGCTGGTTCACTTTGATAAGGTAAGTGTTGAAATGCCCTCACTTATGTCAATGTTAACCAAAAAGGGAAAATACAGAGAATGTTAACACTTTCTTCTTCTTTATTTTTTCTGTGACAGTCATCTGATATTTTATACTACGAAGTATTAGACATTCCTCTTCCAGAATTACAATATTTCAAAACCCCGACGGTAGCATCTCACCATGCTATTAAGGATGAAGTGAGTATGATGATGATATCCAACACATTACAGCCTGGTTTTTCTTCTCTATGATATCACTATTTCAGTATATTTTCAAGTTGATTCATTGTTCACCTTCTAATATCAAATCTTCCATTTACTGTCCCAGGAGAGGTTGAAGAAAGAACATGAAGGAAAAGAACTAAAAAAGAAGACGGTAGAAGCACAGCTTTGTACCATAATAAAGGTTGGCTCTTTAAAGCATTGATTAAGCAACAGTTTTTGAGCGTTGTTTACCAATTTTCTTATCCGGTTATATGGTTCTAGGTTGCACGAGATGAAGATCTTGGAGAGCAGATTGGAAGGGACATATATTTTGATCTTGTGGATTTTGACAAAGTCCAGAATTTCCGTTTTGAAAAGCAGACACCTTTTAATGTTTTTAAGGTTCAACCAGAGCAACTGAGTGCTTGGTTGTTAATTAATCGGCAATGACTATGATAGTGCATTTGGATTTTTTTGGTTTTCTTTCCACCTGCACCAGGTTTCAAATGATTATGTCATATTGGACTTTCTTATCTGATTTTCAAAGGCAGACACCTTTTAATGTTTTTAGGGTTCAACCAAAGCAATTGAGTGCTTGCTTGTTAATTAATTGGCAATGACTGTGATACTGCTTTTGGAATTTATTGGGTTTCTTTCCATCTTCACCAGGTTTCAAATTATTCTGTCATATTGGACTTTCTTATCTGATTATTCATTATTACATATTTGTATTCACAGCTCTTCCCCTAGAATCTAGACTTTGTTGATATTTTATTATTTCATGCAGGAGGAAGTTGCTAAAGTTTTCAGAATACCTGTGCAATTTCAACGGTTTTGGCTTTTGGCTAAGCGTGAAAACAATACATATCGCCCAAAGCTACCATTGACACATCTCGATGAAACACGACCTGTAAATACACTTTGCTTGCTTTGTTATTTGCAAAGGATTGAACTTTTTCTTTTAGTTTATTTCTCAAATTCAGTGGTGTTTGGCTTGGTTGAATTTAACTGGGCACCTTTATCCAAGCTCCAGAGTCTCTGTCTCTTAACTTCAGTCTCTTGCCTTCCAAGTTCCAACCCGCCTCCCTTTCTCCCTTCTTTTAGCATTTAAGATTCAAAATTTTTGAGATCTTATTTTTTAATTTTGACCTCTGAGGTGGTTTTACAAATAAATAACTATATTATGGAACATTTAATAGTTTTGTGGAATATTTTCATTGTATTTAATAATAATGTTTTCTCCTGTGCTTGTTTGTGAGTGGTATTAGGAGTTAAGTGATTCTTAAAGTTAATCTGAGCACTTTTTTTTTAACTCCTTCCATTTAAGTACTATAGTTTCTCCTCTTTTGTTCTTGTAGCGTGACTGCTCTAGTTTCACTTATTACCTCTTTGCCTAATCATGAAAGATGAACTCATAATTTCCAACTTTAGCTAGGAACACTAGTGGAGGTTTCAAATAAGGCTCAAAATGTAGAGTTGAAGTTGTTCCTGGAAGTTGAGCGTGGACTGGTAATCTTGT